TAAGAGAACATGGAGAGGAACGACCTGAGGAGAAACAGTAGCTCAACAGTTGATCAAGGAAATAGAAATGAAAAACTACTCAACAACAAATTTTCACAGAAGTTTTTCCCTAAATTTTCAAACAGCTACTATTGAACAAAACAAAACCTTAGTTTTTACTGTAAATTAACATCTAGAAATTTAATTTTGCTCCCTCCCATATTCATGTAGTTATTTGTTTATTTTGAATCACCTTATACTGTTGTGCACCAGATTTCTCAAATGTTCTCTTTCTGTTTGAGCCATTTGTTCAAAGGATAAACTGTTGTGTACCTCCCACAAGAATGTCTGACACCTAACTTTTGCAGTGCATTTAAAAGGGAATTTTCAAAGTTCCTCTCTAAGCATACAACCAAGAAATGAGCTAAACGCAAGAAGCTAATGATACATCGCCTGCCCTAAAGCATCAAATCCCATGAAAAAAAAGATTATGCACTTCGCAAGCTTCTAGACGTAGTATTAGCTAAATTTGCTACTCAATTTGCCATATTTAAGTCAACCTCTGTCCACATCTGGAAAGACTCGGTAACAGAGAGAGAGAGAGAGAGAGAAGAAAAACAAACATTACTAACAAAACGGAAATAGCATACCTAAGGCAAAAAAACCCGTTACAGCTCCAGAAGCCATTCTGGAAATCAATCCAACTATGTTTGGCGACAATCCCCGCCACCCCAACTCAGGAACTTCACCGTGGAGTCCTGTCACCACTTCAAGATCCTCCTCCATTCCTTTCCAACAACCTGAACGGAGCTCCTGACCCTGGACAATGTACCTGTCAGCTGAGCCCCGAGCCCCAGAGAGGGAAAAAGATGAAATCGTAGCGAGAACTTATCTCGTTCCTATCCCTCGAACTGAAAAATATAAGAAGCCAGAGCTGATTATGGAAATCGACTCCTTAAAAATTCGACAATCTTCCAAGATCTCTTCCATCGCATTGATTTCTCTGCTGGTGGAGAAGTAAAACAGTCGGCCAGCGGAGACGGCAAGAAGACGGTTCTGGACCCCTTCAATGCGTCATTTACATCCATACCACACGACTCTTATATATTTGCATTTCAAACACCTAAACATTCACACAAGAAAAGTCTGAAAAGTGAAATACTCATGACTCCAGCTGTTAAAACTGTAAATATCAAATTTTGGGAGGAATATTACGTTAGAACTTCTAAAGTAGAGCTAGGTTCGAAGTGCAATGATATGCGGACACGTGGCTTCAAGGAAATGAGCGCGCTTTCCTGTGATCCGGCCCGATAACACAGGAGAATATTCCTCCTTTGGTGTTATTGTGGTGATATTGATGTGTTATTGTGTTATTTGGTGTTATTGTGGTGATATTGATGTGTTATTTTATTATTATTACACCGAGAATATTCACAGAATACAATAACACATGAATATCACCACAATAACACATGATACACCGAGAATATTCACAGAATACACTAACACATGAATATCACCACAATAACACATGAATAATGCAGAATAACACGGAGAGAATATTTCACTGCGCTAAAATGATTTTTTTTATTTTTCTGTCACCTCCACGTGGTGTTATTTCATTGGACTCCGAACGTAGCTCTGCGTTAGGAGTCCTGATGTAATATTTTCTCCAAATTTTGGATAGTGGATGTACAAATACATTAAAATTATGGGTATATATATATAAATTTTTCAACAAAACAATGTGTGTAAATGCAATTTCCCTAAATCCTTAAATCTTAGACTAATGAAATCTATTATTGAGCGAGAGTTAGACGAGTTAAACAACTATTAATTCTATATTCTTAAGACTCTCAGAAGTTGTTTAGTTGGTGCTTATGGCTAATTTATTTTATTAAGCCGCAGATGATTTTTTTTAATTAAGACTAGCTAAATTCAAAAATTGCTTAAGCATGAGAGAAAGCCAAGTATAACTTACTAAATAGAGCTAAAATTGATGTTTGGGTTTAATTAAGACTAATTAAGTATAATATACCTTGCACTAATTATGTCATAAACTAATTTAAACGAACTAAGCAAAAATTTTGAATTAAATTTTCTTAGAGACCATTTTGGGTTGATCCCGGCTCGGCTCTAAATCGGATCGTTAACAGCCTTAATTGCAGCTTTTTACAAATGTGATTGTAAAATTGCGGTGGATAAAGCAACTTCTTTAACAATTGAGGTGAGAATTATAAATATTTTTTCAACAAATAATCAAACAACTGCTTTCTTACTACTACAATACTTTAATAAGTCAGGTTGAAAAAACAGCTTTCTATTACAGAAATTTCAAGAAAATAGTTCTGCAAACAACGTTGTGGCAGCGATCTAAAACACAAAGATGACAGTCAACTATCCCAAAAAAAAATCCTAAGGGGAAAAATAAATTAGCCCGTGCATGTCCTCATCACTCACTCAATGAAATGTGTCCTACTGGATAAAGAGCATTGAAAGTGCATTAATGTGATTTCTTCCAACCAACACCTACTTTATTGCATATTGAAGCCATGTAGTTGGACTTGATATAATAAACCTAAGAAAAATCTTTGATGAAGAGTATTCAAATTTAAAATTTTGCTTCACTTAACTTTTTTTAAAAAATATTATAAATTTAACTATTAAATAAAAAATAACTAATATTAAACTACTATTAATTATTTATTTTAAGGGATACAATTTTTAATGTATTATATAACATAAAAGAGTTTAGTAAAAATCTAACCTTAATACATTTTGAATAAAAAAATATAACCTTTCAACTAAAATATTAAGGTGGCTTCCATATATTTATATGTTTTGATATTTTTGAGAGCAAAGACGACAGATCCAAGTTATGTCCATAATGAGCAATTGCTTCCCCCCCCCCTAAAATCTCGCTATATAAGCAGTGAAATTTAATAATATTTTCTTATGTTGTTTAGGGAATTTAGTCATTATACCCTTCAAATATATATTTTTTAGCCCAATTCTTACGTGTTATGATTTTGCTCATCCTAAAAAGTAAAGTCGATTCACCCCTTGATTGAGGAAGAGATATTACGTGCATTTACACGTTATGTAAGTACGAGATTGAGATACACATAGGAGAAAGAAGATAAATGATCGTGCACGTACGCCGGAGATACGAAGAATGCACGTATTATTTCTTTTTAATTGAAAGATAGAGAAAGAAAAGAGAAAAAAAAAAAAGGACAAACGAGCCAACTTGAAGACAAGAATTGCAACAAGTTATTTATGGTGGTTGGAGCCCTTTTAAAAGCAATCTTTATTATTATTATTTTTCTTTTAAAAATTTTATTTAAGAGCGTTGACATGAAGCCCAGTCAAAGTTGAGTATAAATAGTGTTTTCTAACGACCTTTATAGTCAAATATAGTTGAACAGATTTAGACTAAATTATATAATTGACAAAAACATCTTGTTCGTTTGGCCAGAAATGCAATTATACATAAAATAATCAGAATTGAATTTTGCTCACCTGCAACATTGCTAATATATATATATATA